AAATTATATATTTAATGATTAAATATTATTTTTTAAAAATTTACAAATAAGAGCCTGAAAAGTGAAAATAATTATAAATATAGATCCAAATTAAAAATAATTATATATAAAAGTCTAATTTTTAAAAAATATTATATATAAGAATACAAAATAAACTACAGTATAATATTATTTAAGTCTGTGATTTGATTGTTATTAGTATAAGAAATATAAGTATTGATAAATATAATTATTAAGTATATAAAAAAATATATCAATTGTAAATTAGTAAAAAAAAAAAATTTTTTTAACAATAGTTAATTAGACAACTCTTTCCAATAATCATTTGTATTAACTAGTCTTCAAAAGCAAGTTGAAGACTCAAGACCAGAAGTAAACAAATAACTTGAAAACTTTTTGATATGAACTGTTGTTGACAAAGTCTTAAATGTGATATATCAAGGAGCAAATGATTTGGACGATTTGCAAAGGGGTTAAACTTTTTCTTCTCTTGGATGAACTCTTTTTGTATTTGGCATCCAAACCAGAAAATTCTTTGGGAACAGCAAGTAGAAAAAACTTAAGTTATTTTAAAACAAAAGGCTATGAAGAACTTTTGAAATAATATTTCTTGATTAGAAAACTCGCAAAACTACAACTTTTTTCTACTGCTTTCTTTTTTTCTTTTTTTTCAACAAAAAGTAGAAGATTTGGCTACTTTGCTTCAAAAAATTAGCATTGTTTACCACTTCTATTTTCAAAAAATCTTAAGTTACAATATGATAAACTAGAAACACAACAATCACATGTGAAGGAGGAAGTTTTGTTTTGTTTTGGTTAAATCGAAGTATTTAAGAAAAGATCTATGTGCAAATTAGATTTTGATAAAGCAAGATTTGAAATGAAACCTATAAGAAGTCTGGTTTAGAAAGAGTAGCCTGGTAAAAATAGAACTGATGATTATGTGATGAGGCTTTAAAATTAGTATTCTAAAATTCGAAGTAGATTTAATTGAAAGTTATAAACTAGAGCGATATATTAGAGATATACAATATTTCAAAGTCATATGTATATAATTTTTAGCCTTTAGTACAGATTAAAGTGCATTTTAGTTTATAGTTTCTTTTTGTTAGATAGCTCTATATATAGATTTCTATGACTATGTAAATAGGTTTTCATCTGGTTAGCAGGTTTTTATATTTGTATGCAAGTTCTTTTAGATTTTAGAATAGTTTTTTTAGATTCCTTTATATTCTGGTCATTTTTTTATTTGTTTGTTTTTTTACTTTTCTTATTTTTATTTCACTCTTACCTTTTTTTTTTTTTTTTTTACTTCTTTATAAAAAAGTGGTATCAGATTGGTGGTACTTTATTATAGAGCAGTAATTCTGACAAGATTGATGAATTTATTTGTTGATATCCAGAGCTCACATCCTCAGTAAATTGAGAATCCTGGAAGGAGGAAAATTGTCATTTAGATAAATCACTCCTGGGTCATACTTTAGCGTAAATTTAGGGTTCATTTTATTTTTACTGTGATAACAAAACAGATCAAGAGATTTTTTATTTATACAGATATAAGATAGTTCTAATGGATAATGTAGGTTTAGCTAACTGAGGTATTTTGTTGAAAGGTACTACTGATTTAAAAAATAAAAGAAGGATTGCTAAAGTAAAAAAAAGTAAAAAAAAATAATTTTTTTTAAATTTAATAAATTTTATTTTCTTTGTATAAAATTATATATTGTTATAGCAAACTACTATAATATCAAATAAAGTACTGCTAATTGGCATGATATTTACTAATATAAAAGATATTTATTTAGCTCTAAAGAGCTACTTAGTTAAATTCTTATCTTATAAATAATTATACTAATTTAATACTATTTTTTATATAATATTTAAACAAAAATGATTATAACTAGCACTTTATTTATTTTTTAATCTAATAATCAGTATATAAATAACTCTAAATAATCTTATAAATATATTTTGCTAATGTTATAATTCAAATAATCATAGTATTATATAGTGCAGTAATTTTGCAAATTATATTTTTCAGCTATCAATAAATTTGGCTCTTATATGTAATATTTTTAAAAATTAAGCTCTTATATGTAATTATTTTTAATTTAGACCCGTATTTGTAATTATTTTCACTTTTCAGGTCTTTATTTGTAAATTTTACATTAATTTTTTTTTAATAAAAAATATACTAAAATATTGGTTGCTATTTTACTAATACTCATAAATACAATACTAGCTAAAAACTTTAAATACTTTGTATGTTTCAAACTATTGGTTAAGATCTTTTTTGAGATGATATCACAATAATACCAATGGTATTTTGTAAATATCTTTTAACTATTTTTTCAAATAGTTTAATATTACCAACTATAATCTGATCTTTGCAATATATCAAGATAAAATTGTTATTATAAGCTCCAAACAAATTTATATATTCATTGCAACTAGAATAAGAAAAAAATAATAAGTAAATATCATCATTATCAATATATCCTATTTATCACAACTTTTGTATAGGGCTAGATTGAGCTTTTAAATAAAACATAACAGAGAAAGATGTTTACAAGCATACCTGTAGCCATGATATGCTTCTGGTTCTCCATAGTCCTCCTAGTGGCAGCGTAACTTCAGATATGTAATGAATAGACATCTACTTAGTGAATTTCATCTAACTTTAGTTCTGAGAAATAATAACAGTTTTGGCTTCTTAACAATAATTTTTTCACATTTCAGGGGTAAAAAATTTTTCTTTTCTATAACAAGATCGAGGAAAAAAGCCTGACTTGAAAATCAACATTACTTGAAATTTCTAGTTTTCAACGGCAACTCATGTCGATCAAAAATGTGGTTTGATTTTTTAAAAGGAATGACTTGTGCATTGATTTGATTGGTCAAAAAAAGATCGTTATCGCAAAATGATCGATAAAAATTCAAACTTCGTACGAAGATATTTTGACAACTATCTAAACAAGCTCGATAAATATTTTTTAATTTAATTCTAGAGAACTTGTAGAATTAAATGAAAAAAAAAAAATTCATAATTTTCTTGCGTGATTGTCGAAATATTTTCGTTCAAAATTTCTTGCTTCTATACGTATGATAGGATAGGATCAATACGTATGCAAAAAACTCGGTTATTCATTAAATTATTAAACAGGTTTACTTCAGATCGTGATTTTTCACCCGAATAAACCGGTTTCAACCAATTAGAGACGCGGTCCGTTGGGGTGTGTGGTGTATTACAGTATTATGTAAATCAAAACTTTTAATGAATATTTTTAGATAGCGGTCGATAGGTAACAATTTCTATAATAATTATTACAGTAGCCAGATTAATGTATGGGCATTTGTTTTAAATCTTCTCATAACGAAAGAAATGGGTTTAGATTATCAAATCAGATTGTGTACCAATCCGAAAATGGTTAATGATATAGAGAGATTGTGCAAGCGAAGCATCTTCTAAGAACGTGAAATGGATGAAACAAATCAATTCCCACAAATAACTTTAATAGTAAAACTCTGTAATTTTATTGCGAAACACCAAGCTACATTGAATGCAATTCCGATTCGTTTGTTTAATTGGGTTCAATATTGCTAAAACTGGTCAAATTGAAAAATTTATGATAGCGATAGAGTTAGATGTGGCATATTTTTTTCGTTAGTTATTAAGGTAATATTCAACATTGTGGTACATAATCTCAATTTTTAACTTTGAGCTGAAAAAAAATCAAATCAACAATAAACCTTAATTTTAAGACACGCATCAATTACATATTCATTTGGTAATTTACTTGGCAAGTGGCATAACGAGGTTCGACCGCAAGAATTCAATGATTCGAAAATGATAGATCAAAGTACTGTACTAAAACTGTCTATTCAAGTGTAATTAAAGACGAACTTCGAAACTTGTTTGTTACTTTAACTAAGAATTCCGTACAGTAGGGGTCTCAGAATTAACCTATTGTCGAAATAAACGAAAGTTTAAGAAGTCTTGCTCGTGTTTCTGAGCTTCAAAGTAGTAAATGAAATAAAGTATCTAAACTTTTCTGTTGTTGACTATATATCATAAAATAGAATTTGTATATATCACTTCGAAATAAACATATCACCTATTTTATCCAAAATTAGATGCCAAAATCATTAATTCCGAAACCCCCTAGCTATGGGTAATATATAAGGTGGCACTTTAAATTTTCCCTGTTTGCAGTGAGAGAAAACTTCAAATTCTGCTTAGTTTATTTTTAATATACAAATTTGTATGTTAAATATAGTTTAAAATATAGCTTATACAAGGAAAGCTTCTGATCAAGTAAGGGATACTATTAAATAAAACTAATTAAAATTAATCAATTGATATAGAGTTATACTATATTTTATCCAAAGCTTCTTTTGAATCTACTTTTTGCTTTAAACCTTACTTCTAATATTAAAAATAGATAGTATATTATTAACTATTGTCGGGGATGATGCTGAGAATTTAAAAAATTTTTGGGCTATTTTTTTTTAGCTTTTTTTTTAGAGTTGGGTTAGAATTTAGGGTTAGAGTTTATAACAAAAGAGTATATGTGGACTTTAGTAGAGTTTATATTCTTAAGTTGAGACCTCAAATTCTCAACATCATCCCCGACAATTATTACGCCACCAACCTGGCACTTTATTAGCCTTAGTATTATCGTTATGCGTACTTCGGCCTGGTTGAGTTTTAATCTTAGCCCAATTTTAAACATACTCTAATTCTAGGTATAATCAAACGTTAAATTTTTGATTGATGATCAGAAGATCAATCAAACGTTCTATGCTCTGCATGTAAGTTGACACAACCCCAAATTCGTTTACGAAAACGGAAAATTCAAGTCCGAGAATTAACCACGTGAAATCGTGGCACAGTCGTGATTCGTGAACGTCAAAAACGCGTCTTTCTCTCCACATTATAATCGAAACCGCTATAAGTTTTTTAATAACCAAACTACATTTTGCATTAGCAATTTGCAGACATGAAGGATTCTGTAGTTACCTCTCATGACTGTATTACGAAGCCTCTTAAAGTGATCAAACATCAGCTTGGTAACAACTTATTTACTCTATTGCTTATTCATTAATTCTACAGTGAGTAATTTTTTTTTTCTTCCTCTTAGAACAATCATTTCGTGCTGATTCGTCATTGCAGAATGAATTTGACATACCAACATATTTTCAAACCATTTTCTCAACTGAAGAAAGCGTGCTTGAGGTTTGATTTAACATAGTTAAATTCTCAACGTCGCAAAAGTATTAATATTCTGTATACGCAGATACCTTCTTTAAATGATACCTCCGTATACGATATTCCACATCATTCGCTTGTTCGCTTTCGAGCCATGATTCAGAACACGGGATTTGGTCACGAAATGTTTGTAAGCTTTTACGAAACATCGGATCATAAGGGTAACAAGGTATGCTTTATATTATCTCTAACCATAATTTTTTTCTCCATTAAACGTAAAAAATACGCTCATATGGATAACTTACAATACAGAAATGGAAATACAACAAGTATTCGGACGATATGGATACGGTTATTAAAAGACAGATTAATCGATAACTACTCTTCGTCTCTTGATTAAATCTCACATTTCTGATTCATGTAGGATGTGATGTTTGACTTCGATCCGAATATTCATTACAATAAATTTGATGAGAGATATTTATATTATTGCGTATCTGTTCCTGGGGAAACTCAATGGGCTAAACAGATATCCTGTCAATTTGATCTTAATATTTGTCAATAATTCCTTCATTTCAATTTGTTACTTCTTGACTTGAATTCTACGCTTATAGGCAGGAGTGTCCGTCGTTTAGCGAAACAGGAACTGACATCGAAGGTTTTTGTTATATTTCTGGTGCAATAACGACTTTTACTGATTATTTCTAAAGATTTATTTTAATAGAAATTGTGAGATCGACGGCGAATATGCATTTAGACAGTAGTAAGAGCGAGAATAGATTTAAAAAAGTCGCTTCAAAATACCCGTTCCCCAATGAAGATCACGTGGCTGCTATAGTAAAAGTAACGTATCAATCATTTCTTATATTACAAAACCGGAACATCTTAATTGAAATATATATATTCTATAGTTTTATGAAAAAGATGATTCTCTAAAAGTAACCGATGTTGTTGAATTCATCGGTGTTCTTTCTCATCCTAAGTATGCTTTGAATTATATTTGGAATCATGTGTCTTGTCAAATCTCAATTACGGATGTCTCGCGCGTTAACTAGAGAATTAAGTGATGATGAACTAGAACAAGGCGATGAAGAATGTGGCTTCGATGTTGCGTTCTCCATTGTTCCTTGTATCCATGCGATCTATTACAGGACTCTTCATACGTCAGGCAATCCACTTATATCGCCTCAATTGACTGACCCTTATGGTAATTCAATCTCTCCATTACTAATATAAACTATATCTATAAATTTGCTTACAATATTCATATTTTACTTAAGATATACAACGTCGTGCAAGTCACACACGAAGTTCGTTACTCCAATATATTGCTGCCGCATTTAAAAATGATTACTTAGTAGCTGAATTTGTCTTACTACAACTTTTATCTAGAATGTACGTTATCCGAATACGCATAGTATTGTAGTTTGCTGCCATAATATTTATGTGGGTTTTTTTTATTCAGATATAACCGACGCAATGGTTTGACCCTTGGTAAACTTGTATTGAATATAAGTAACGTGCCATCATGCCCCCTTGTTAAAAACGGGCGCTTATCTTCATCTTCCAATTCGAGTCTGATTCACTCGAATGTGTTTACAAAGCGTGTATCCACTGTTCTCTCCTCACTCCTGCCCAAGTATCATGATCTTCCTCTAACTCTTTCGACTTTTAATGAGTTCCTTTTTTATCCACGAGATAATGATAAGTTAGATTCTGGGATACTTCAAGTTAGTCAGGGAACTTGGTTTTTAATTGATGAGACTGTTATGGAAGAAGGAAAACTCGATGATATTGGTACTTTTGCTTTGCTTTAATATTTATTTATCTGATATAGTTTAGGTACTAATTATGATTCGTGTTTTGAAGGCGTCCGTAATCTACAGGCGTTGAATGAAATTCTAGACAATCAACAGCTTAAATATGCATTTCCATTTAACGATTTTGAATTTGAAACTGATATTGGTGCAATCATATTGTCGAATGCAAGATCATTTCTACCAGTGAGGAACTTTGACAGATCATATTTTTACTAAAAAATATTATTTTAAAATATTCACATAATCTTTTATACATAGTGTGATTGCATTATTCCTTTAATGTCTAACGTCGAAGAGACGTTAGTGTTTGACGTACAAGAAGAAATCTTAGCAGAATTTAGGATATATCTTAGTACTCTTCGATACGTTGAATATTCTATCCCTGAAAGCGTTTCGAAGGTATCTTTGATTAAGTGGATGTTATGAATATTGCTTGCGTAATGTTAGTTTATATAAAATAATTTTATATTAAATATTTTAAATAACGATAATGCTAGCATATTGAAAACGAATTCGTCAACCAACGAAAAAATGCCTCAAAAACTGGTCAACCTTTGGTGACTCAAACCGACTTATTACTGCGAATGACTTTAGCAAGGTTTGTACATTTCTTTGATCATATGAAAAAACTTTCAATTAATATCTATTATGAATCTGGAAATTTAGATTGGTGACTTTAAGCTTTGGTCAATTTGAGCTAACACCAGAGCTGTGGAACTATACACAAAATTTGGATGAGCAGCGAAAACAACGCATTCAATGTTGATTGGAATCAAGGATCCATTGTACTTTCAGAATTTTTCAATGATCCATTGATTCCGATGAAAAATTCCACTGAAAGTATAATCTCATTGGAATGAATATAATGTTTAATGCACATATAGCAGTTAATATTAACAAATCAAAATAACTATACAAATAAAGTCATGTGTATACTGTCATATGAGTTTATAAATATATAAATGTTTTAGAAATTTAGGTCACGAATTTACAGTGTACTTGTAACACTTGGGATTGTCTAAGATTCTGATACATGGAATCTTGAAGCACATAATCTCGATATTTATGATGTTGATGGAAACAGGATTCCGACGATTCAAGATCTTGCAAGTGCAGATCTCGATATTCAAGATTTCGAATGGTCAAGATTTTGAGGGCTCACGACCACGACAATTTTATTATATCAAGGCCATGGGATATTAATATCCTACTAATTTGGTCAAGTTATTATTATTACAAATACAAGTGATTTGGAAATACCAGTATTATCAAATATTATTTTTGTCAATTTTACTTATTGAGGTTAAATGTGTAGTATCAACCTTTTTATGCATTTGATTGATTGGTTTGATTTGATAATAGTTAGCAAAACTAATTATCCAGGTTTGTTAAATAAATACATTAAGTTTTTAATAAAAACTTAATATTTAGTAAATTTTTTATATATTTTAAAATTAGGTTTTATTAATTAATATAATATTTAAAAATATCTTTAATAATAACTTTAAAAATAAGTATTTAAGTTGGTATTGTTTAATTATATTGTATATGAGAGTCGCTAAAAGAAAACCCGAAAATTTAAATGACTTATATTGGGTTTTCTTTTAGCGACACTCGTATACTATTTAATTAGGCGGGCATTTATAAGTTACGTTAGTTATAGAAATCTTAAAAAGATAATACAAAAAATAATACCATATAACATTATCTTCAAGGTTCCTGTTTTTATACAATACGATATTAGTTTAACGTAAAGTACGGATGCCGCCTTATATATATTTTTATTTACCAATTTGGTTTTTACAGTAATACGTAATAAATTAGAATTGTATATTATTTAATGCAAAAAGGTTAATATACCAATATTTTTATAATCAAAAATTTTTAAATAAAGATATACGTATATTTAAAATAATTTTAATAAAATATAGATTATATTTAATCTAAATTTTAAAATTTTAATCAAAAGCATAATTTTTTTTTGGTAGCTTCACTAGTATCTTTATTAAGATTTAATATATATTGTTACATATTTAATTGTTTAAATTACAAATTTAGCATTTTCTAGCTACTTCAACAAGTACCCAGAAGGCAACTGCTCATGCTGAAGAGCTGTACCAGGCTAGTCTATTAGGCTATAAAAGAAATAGTCTTATTTTATTTTTATAAAATTTTTTTATAGTCTAATTATGTTTTTTATTTTGTTTTTTAATTTTTTTATTTATTTCTATTTAGCTTTGATTACAACTAACTTGACCCTTTTTTGATCTTGGTTTTATTCTGTCAATATTAGTATTTGGAAATTTTTTTTTGAGTCTTGAATCAATATTATATTCT